AGTTAATTAATTAAGTTAATTAATTAGTTAATTAATTAAGTTAATTAATTAGTTAATTAATTAAGTTAATTAATTAGTTAATTAATTAAGTGTGTCAACTTGGCTGGGCCTGGTTGAATGGCTGGGCAGCTGAATGTAGTATTCCCCATGATGAGACTGGTAATCAACTCCATGGTAGAATCTACTGTGAACAGTTGAGTAGCTGCCTTAGGGATATGGCCTGCTTCCTGTATATAAGGATAAGCCTTGGGGAATGGTCTCTAGCTTATGGCATGCTTGAACTCTGCATGTAGCTGTGTTGTTCAGCAGCTTGCCATGCTCTGCCGACCTTGGGACTTTCAATGGACTTAAATTAATGGCCTACCGTGTGGTTTGGTAACATCAGGATTGTGCCTTTTTACTTGTTGACCTTAGGTTTGTCAGCCTCAGCAGCCAGCAGCTGTCTGAGTGAAGAAAAGCCTCTAGCTCCAGTGGGCCGGGAGGAGGAAGCAGAGCTGAAGCTCAAGTTTGAGGGGTGTTGTGGTTCCCTAATGCTGCTCTGACAAGAATATATTGCAAATGGGATGGCTTGAAAAAACAGGAGTTTATTTTCTTACAGCCAGAGGGTTTAAGTCCGAGTTCAAAGTGCCAGGCTCTAGGGGCTAGGTGAAAGCCCCTCAACGTTGGGCTTCAGTTCTGCCTCCTGCTATTCTGCACGCCTTCCAACCTGAGGAGCTCATCTTTTGGCACAATTTCAAACAGTGCTTCACTGCTATTGATAAGATTTTCACTAATCAGTTTTTTCAGAAGTAGATTACTAGGTCCTTCTCAGTGTATCTTAGTCTGAAGCTCTGCTGACACCTCTCTACCATGGCTGACTGTGCTGGTATCTGAAATACCAGTGACTGTCTACAGCCACACCACCCTGAACACGCCCGATCTCATCTGAAATACCAGTGATATAGCTTCCAACATCACTGCAATACACAAGCCACCACAGTATGACAAATTGACAGATGAATAGCGGCTACAACTGTCCGAAAAGAAAAAGGATATGGCAATGGTTAAGGGAAATCCTAATCCAACAGGATAAAAGCTCTGTCTGAAAATGGGCTGTAGACTGTGCCAAGTTTTTGGTGTTAGTTGTAAAGTATGGCTTAGGATTTCTGATAGGAAGAAATCAAGAGTAAAATGCTGATAGAGCCTGGTGGAACCCCTGAGACTATGGCCCCTAGCTGCCCTTCAGGTCTGGAATTGAATCCACTCCTTTGGTTTCCAGCCAAACAAAAAACAAGCATATGAGCTGAACATTTACATTAGGCAGATACACTCCTTGGAGAGATCACTCATGGGAGAATAGAAGGGCTGTGTATACACAGGGAGACAGCTTGGGGGGCAGGAGTGCATGGGAGGGAAGGACACAGGGAAGAGGTGGCCATGGGGAGGAAGTGGGAGGGAAGCTGTTGCATTGTGGGAGACTGCAGTCAATGTTATAAGACAAAGTATATGTGAACTGCTGTATGGAAGATGAATTTGCTCTGTAAACTTTCACCCAAATCAGAATAAAATTTAAAAAAAAAAAAAAAAAAAAAGCTATACCTAAAGAGTAAAATGCTAGACTTAATTCAAATACCATTTAAGTTAAGCTGGAAACAATACTCTGGGCAGTATGGTCATCAAGCCACCATAATCAACTATTTTGTCACATTTTCACAAACACACATACATTGTCACCTTTCCACATAAAAGCATTAAATGTTAAGCTGGAAAGGACTTGGAGCCTAGCTCAAATTTAGCCAAAATATAGAAAGATAAAGCAAAGGGCCAAATACTTCTCCAAAAAGAAAAAATATAAAAAAGAAGTACCTTATTGAGGACTGGTTTTGTTGACAGGACATCATATATGGTTGCAAATGAAATTTTCTAAAATGCAAAAATAGCTTTGTTCAGTAATTAAATATTGATATCAGCACCTTATCCACACAAAGGAATCATCTGAGACCAAGATGCTCTTCAACCTATCACCTCTAAATTTTCCTAAAAGAATTTCCCTCTAGGTCACTGTTAGAAACAGAGGGACTGACTCAATAATGGCTCTAGCATGTTTTTGTCTTCTCTCTTCCTCCTCTCTTTAATGTGTTTCTCTCTTTAATTCTGTTTATCATTGAATTTCACAGAATTAGGGTAAGAAAAAGAAGTGCAGCAAAATTTTGCTCTCTCAGTTAAGAATACAACACTTAGTCTAGAGGTACTAAATAATAAGAGATTTCTAAATTCTTCAAAGACTAAAGAGAAATGCCCGACCTAAGAAAATCTTTAATGATCACAAGTTCTTTTAGTATATGACATTGCAAACGTACCTCTTGGGTTGTCTGGTTCAGACATATCTTTGCAGCTGTTCTACGATCATCAAGGAAGAACGGTTTTCTCCAACGGTCATAATTTGTTTGTACCACATACCATCTGCTCTGTTTAGGATTGAGTCTAGAAACAAAAATAGAGATTCCCTCTTAGGCTTGTGCCTTAAGCCTATACAATATCAGCCTATGCTTAGTTTCCACCTATTTTGTTTAACTAACATACTTACTCATATACATCCAAAGATACTTTTCTGTCTCTTGTAATCACACAACCCTCTCCAGATTGGTTGCCTCCCAGGATAAAGTATGCTGGGGCCAGTGTCTTAGTTTTGGTCAATATACTCTTAGCTTCTTCATAACTGGGTAAAAACAAACAAAAAAATTAATAGGAAATATTTTTACTTGATTTGAAAAGTACAGAAGTGGAAATATTGTTTTAGCTCTGTGGAAAGGAAGGGAAAACAAGTATCAGAGGGATATGATTTTTAAAACAGATGGAGAGCAGCAATTCAGGGAGAAACAGTCCCTCTTCCTGTGTGTGGAAACACTGGGAGCTGACATAGTATTGTCAGAAGGTCACTTTAATATGAAGGAGAAACAAAACAGTTTCAAGATATATTCTTCTATCCTTATAGTCCATGCCTTTTCTCAACAGCAGAACAAAGGGAATTATATTAATTATAGCCAATATGATTTAGGGAATATAAAGCTTCTTGAAAGTTATGTGCTGGTTGTTAGCTGCTGCTAAGTCCATACTGACTGATGCCAACCCCATGTATGCAGAGTAGAACTACTCCATAGGGTTTTCAAGGCTGTGACCTTCTGAAAACAGAATGCCACACCTTTCATTTGAGGTGCTTCTGGGTTAGAACAACCAACTTTAGTCTAGTGCTCAACCATCTGCACCACCCTGGGACACCATCTTGAAAATTAACTCAAACCAAACCAAACTCCCTACTGTTGAGTCAATTCTGACTCATAGTGACCCCCTTTGGGTTTCCAAGGCAGTAAATCTTTATGGAAGTAAGATTGCCCCATCTTCCTTCTGCAGAGCAGCTGATGAGTTTGAACCACCAACCTTCTGGTTAGCAATCAAATGCTTTAGGCACCATGCCATCTTGAAAATTAGGGATATTAAAACTTGGAGTGGATTACCAAAGACAACTGTTAAATCTCACTCCCTAGAAGGCATTACAAATAGGCTTGATGCTCATTTATCCTAGGCATTTGGATGCAGTGCTGGCTGAAGGAAAGGCAGTTTTGTAGCTATAAAATTTCCACAACAGAGAAGAACATAACTCCTAAGTTTGTTTTACCATTTAAATGAAGATGCTACTGTACAATTTTTCTTTTGTGTATGCTTTCTGGTTACACCAAAAAATTCATAGCTGCTTTTCATTGTGTCAGTATCCCTAGCATTTTTTAAATAAATCAGTTCATACCTCTGTTATGAACACATACACACAAAGTGTGAATATTCCATATGAATGTCAAAACTATCACCTAAGAGATTCTGAAATAATTCTCCAATGGGGCTTGAAAATATTCTTTTAATATGAAGCATTCTGAATAAGTTAAATATCAATTTGATAACAAAGCAACCAAATAGATTACCTCGTACTATTTTCCAAAACTGATCTAGTGATAAACCCTATCCACATGGCATCTTTCTTCCCCAAAATCCATTCTAGGATACCTGCAAGAGATCAAACACATATCAAGTATCACAGGACTGGAAGAGATGAGACCACTAACTAGAAAGTATAGTCCAGATGTCCTTTTAAAACATCCACAAAACTCCCATTTCTATTCAGAACACTCTACTTACCCATATAACCACCATTCATAGAGAAACGTTCATTTAGTGTAAGACTGAACAGTCCCTGAGAAAAATACAAAGCGATAAAGTCAGAAACTTCAACACTCTTCTTTACAGGCCTGTTACTCTATATTATAGGAGTATACAAAGAGCTGGATTGATCAAGGAAGAATGCACAGATAAATCAAAACCATGGTACTACCATCTCATAACAACAAAGCTTTCTCACATCTAGTATGTAAGCAAAGCAGGCTGGATATAACTGGGCTCACTTTTCTGAAGGAAAGTGAAGTTCAGAAAATGAGTATCTGACATGCCTGAATGAGCAGCTGACCCAGGACAAGATCCCAGATATCTACTCAAGCCTTATCCCAGGACAGGCTCAGAAACCTTCCTTGCCTTCCTATCCCTCTCTCTTATGCAAGTTCATACCTATAAAGGTGACAAGAAGCACAGAAGCTTTGTATTCTTTTAGGTCTTCATTTTCTTAGACTCCACCTTTTACAAACAAGAAAAGCAGGACACAGAACTACCTGTGAAGTTATGTAACAGTAGATGCCTTACTGGTTTAAATCCTGTTAAAGTGCCCACATAGCCAGCAAAGCTTGAAGCCTTGAAGACAGTTCTATTGTTTCTTTGGAAGTCCAAATTCACTGTTAAAGGTTTGAGTTGCTCAGTTACGACCCAGGTGTTATTATTTATATTCCACCTACAAAAGACAAATTTCAGCGACATTTGAGGATCATCTGGTTAACACTGATGATAACAATGGTGAGTATGATAATGAGAGCCACAAACTGTACTAACTGTATTGGGTACTTTATCTACCTGATCACTGGTGATGAATCCTAACAAGAATTTTGTAATAGGGTAGTTTTAACTCTAATTTTTCAGACAGCAAAACTGAGGTTTGGAGAAATCAAGTAATTGCCTTAATATCACAGAGTATATAGTGAATCCCCGATTCAAATTTAGGTCTCTCTAACCACAATGTCCAACTCTGGCACTCTGTTTTATTTTTTTCAGGAAGGCCAAGAGCACATACAAAATACAATTCCTTCTAAGTAATGAACAAGACGTACATCTAGAACCTACAAGCATCCTGAAGATTTTTGTTCACTAAATATAATTTCTCAGTCACAAACTCTCCAAATAACTGGATAAGAATGTGCTTATGTTACCTTAAAAATAAGGAATCTAGTATCTTGACTAGGAGCTCTGGTAGCATAGTGCCTAAGGCACTTGACTGCTAACCAGAAGGCTGGGGGTTCAAACCCACCAGCCACTCCTCGGAAGGAAGGTTGGGCAATCCTACTTCCGTAGTGATACTGCCTCGGAAACCCAAGGAGGGGTCGCTATGAGTCAGGGCTAACTCGATGGCAAATAACAACAACAACAAGTATCTTGACTTATGGTCATATTTGGGGCATGACTTGGGACTTACTTTTCGTCGATATAATTTACTCTTCTTATAGACTGGTAACACTGTTCTTTACTTACCCAAGAAATATTCCAAAATCCATGTTTCTACCATGTAGTAGATGACCTAGTAGAAAATGAGCAGAAGAGATATGCAGCAGCAGTTAAGATAGTACTATTGATTCTAAATCAAAACTGGACACTTAAGCTTGTTAATATATATTCACAACTGTTCAATCTAACACTGAAGTCCTGGATAGGGAGAAGAATGTGGAGCAAACCTCAAAATGACAAAAATGACCAAGCTTACTGGTCTGATAGAGACTGTGGAACCCCTGAGACTATAGTCCTTAGTCATACTTCAAGCCTCAACTTTCAGCCAAACAACATACAGGCCTCTAAGGTGAACAATAACACCAGGGAGGTATATACTCCCTGGAATGATCAACCATAAGAGATCCAAAGGGCAGTATTTGCCCAGGGATAAAGCTTAGAAGGCAGGAAGGGATAAGAAAGAAGAATGGACAGAAATGTTAAATATAGGGAGGAAGTGAGAAGAGTGCTGTTACATTGCTGGCATTACAATCAATGTCACGAAACAAAATGCCCATGAATTGCTGAATGGAAAACCAATTTGCTCTGTACACTTTCACCCTAATCACAATTAAGAAAAAAAAAAAAAAGGAATTAAGCAGCATCCTGGTATCATAATCCTTGTTAACAAAATCATTAGCATCCTCCTTTCTCTAAATCAAACTGTTCTCACTGTCACATCTGTCAGATCCTTCCTACAAATGTTGGGAGCAGCAGAGTTCCAGGTTAGACCAGAATATGGGAAAAGGGTCATTGGTCATCGTTTGGAATACTGTAACAGGACTCTGCCAAAAACAGGTATCTTAACCTCAACTAATGTGACTTATCAACATGTTTCCCTTTAGAATTGCCACCTAAGCTGGACACTCTAAGCATCAGGTACAGGCAGACTCTATACCCTGAGCACAGGTCAAGGAACAGGGTGAATCAAAATTAAAGTCATCATGTACCTTGTACTCTGGGGTTCTTCTAGGGAAAATAGTGGGAAGTGAGGCTAGTAGACAAAGGATCATGTATCCTTTGGCAGGAAATGAGAGAATGGTTGTCCCAGGCTACCAGGAAAGACTGGGTCCATTATATATCTGAAAATATGAAGTAGCTCCTGTGAATAATAATATTCAATCATGTAGACATCATGAAGGAGCTCTGGTAGCGTAATGCCTACAGCATTTGACTACTAACCAGAAGGTGGTTCAAACCCACCAGCCACTCCTCAGAAGGAAGACTGGGCAATCTACATCCGTAGTGATACCACCTCAGAAATCCAAGGAGGGGTCACTATGAGTAGGAGCCGAAACAAAGGCAGTGAGTTTGAGAGACATCATAAATAGACTCTGAGAAATAGTAAGAATCTTTATACTTCCCAAAGGTAACTCCAAAATTCTTTGCATACCTGAATAAAACTCTAATAACAATTACAGTGATCTTAAATTAAGGATAGTTTTCAATCCACTTACACAAATTTAACAAGGTATGCAAAACTGTAGGCTACACATAATAGTAAGCCTGGGTTTTAAAACAAGTTCCAACTACGTTTATTTAGAAGACTTTTCCTTCACTTGCTACTTCACACTGCCCACCCTCCCTCAGCACACATTTACCTTCTTTGTCTTCTGTTATTATTGAAGTACAAAGAGTAAAAAATTCGTAGAAAATATTGTATGCTATAATCTCACCTGTAAGAAAAGAAATGACATTTTCTTATCAATATACAGAACCATGACAATGTGAAAAATTATTATTTAAGAAAACATTGGAGTATTAACTGTTAATGTGTTCGGACTTCTGGTAAGATGGAGGAATAGGCAGACAAGTGACAGAGACCCTCTCCAACAAAGAAAAGAAAAAACAATTGACAGAGATACAAAAGATAATCCTGGGGCCCTGAGCTTTGAAAGGAACTATACAGAAGTGGATTAGGCACCAACTAGTGGAAAATCCTGAACGAAAATAGTGAGTATAGAGACGGTCGGAGCTGCGAACTGTCAGCTACTCTGACAGGACCAACAGCCTGAATATTTCCAAGTGGGGTAGGGACCTGAGAATTGACCTAAAGATCAGCCTGGGTCACCAAGGGCTGCAGGGATGACTGCGTTGGTGGCCTAAGACTAGGAAGGGAAACAGCAAGGAGGGAGATAACCTGAGCTGTGGACTTTCTGCTGCCTGGAGGGCACAGCCATTTTGACTGTTCACATGCAGCAGCCATTTTGGATATTTCAAGTGACTGAGGGTGCAGCCATTTGGAATGTTTACAAGTGGCAGCCATTTTGGATATTTAAAGTGACTGAGGGTGCAGCCATTTTGAATCTTTACAAGTGACAACCATTTTGGATTTTAAAGTGATAGCATTCTCATTTGGATTCCAGGGATCTAAGAATAGGCTTTGTTTGCCAAGGTCGGCAGGGACATATGAGGGACTGGCAACAGGAAAGGAGACAGGTGGTGAGTGTATAAATGCTATGAACTAGTGAATAGAGGAGCACAGCATAGTACCCTGCTTACATAGATAACATATAAACAAAATAAAGAAAACAAAAATTGTGGGCAAGTCACTCCAACATACAATCACCAATGAAATATAAACACAAAAATGTCACAATGCTCCAGAGACAACAGAGCATCACAGTCCACACAAAGAAGCAAGATAAAGCAGGAGAAACAAGGGACCAGGATACAGACCCAAAACACATTTCTTAGGAAGACGCAGCACTGGAACTCCCTGATAAGGAATTCAAAAGAATTATATTTAGATATCTTCAACGAATTGAGAGACAAATCAAGGAAAACACAGAGAAAACCCTAAAACAATTTCGAAAAACAATACAAGAACAAAATGACAAAATAAATGAAAAATTAGAAATCATAGAAAATCTACACACATAAATCCAGAAGATTAATACTAAATTTTCAGAAATAGGTAAGACATTGAATGGGCAAAGGAGCAGAACTGAATCCATGGAAGACAGAATTAGTGAGATTGAAGGCAAATACCTGAACATTTCTTTGGAAAAGGATAAATTAGACAAAAGATCAAAACAAAATGAAGAAAACCTAAGGTTCATGTGGGATACCATCAAAAGGAATAACCTAGGTGTAATCAGAATTCCAGAACAGGAAGAGACAAATAAAATCACAGAGAAAATTGTCAAACATTTGTTGGAAGAGAATTTTCCTGGTATGATGAAAGATGAGAATATATCCATTCAGGAAGTCCAACGAACCCCAAACAGGATAGACCCCAAAAGAAAATCACCCAGACATATCATCATCAAACTTAACTAAACCAAAGACAAAGAAAGAATCATGAGAGCAGCATGGGAAAAATGAAAAGTTACCTACAAGGGGCAACCAGTAAGACTAAGCTTGGATTTCTTGACAGAAAACAGGCAGGTGAGAAGACAATGGGATGGTATATGTAAAAACCTGAAAGAGAAAAATTTCCAACCAAGAATTATGTACGCAGCAAAACTATGCCTCAAATATGATGGTGAAATTAGGAGATTTCCAGATAAGCAGAAATTAAGGGAATTTGTTAAAACCAGACCAACCTTACAAGAGATGCTAAAGGGAGCCCTTTGGACAGAGAAGCAATAACAGCCAACAACAACTGACCATTAACACACATGATGATATAACCCAGAAACCAACCCAGCTATGAAGTATCCAAAGCAAATAAGCTACAAGACTGTAAACAGGGAACCAGAGACATCAATTGACAAATGATGACAACTACAAACCAAAAAGAGGGAAAAATATGTGTCGTTACAGAACTTCTAGACGGTAGGGAAGTCAAGACAACTACAAAATAGAATGGACTGTTGTAAACTTGGGAAGAAAACTGTAAATTACAGGGTAACCTCAAAGAAAAATGATAAACCTTTACATCAAAAGAGGACCAGCATAAATATTCAGAAAATACTAAAACAATAACAATGAAGGAAGTGGTAATATGATTCATAAACAAAACAAACTCAGCATAGAAAATTATATGGAACAAAGAAACTGACATCACGAAAAAGCACATAACAAAAATGACAGGAACAAATTCGTATTCGCTGATAATTACATATTTGGCAAGGGACTTATCCCTAAGATTAATAGCGGAAGAGTGGATGACCAAACTATGGTACATACACATAATGGAAGGCTATGCAGCACTAAAGAATAATGTAAAGCATGCAAAACACCACATAATATGGGTGAACTTGGAGGACATTATGCTGAGTGAAATACGACAATCACAGAAGGACATATATAATATTAGTTTGTTGTTGTGGTGGGTCAAGGAAAGGTTTATATATGGAGGAAAACTTTATTTGTTGGTTACTAGGGGTGGGAATGGAGGGGAGGAAACACTGAGAAAAAAAAATGCACCAACCCATGTCACTTTAGTTTTGTGTATTTTACTATACATAAATTGTATTTCAATAAAATGCATTTTTTTAAAAAAAGGTTAAAAAAAAAAAGGTGGGAGATAAAAAAAAAAACAGTTTATGTGTTGGGCTGCTAACTGGTTGGTAGTTAAAATCTACCCAGAAGTGTGCCAAAAGACAGGCCTGGCAACCCTATGGACCAGTTTTACTCTAACACACATGGGTTGCCATGAGTCAGAATCAATTCAAAAGCACCTGGTATCATCTCTACATGAATGTGTGCTCTGGTGAATGTAAGTGACTGCAGAACAGTCTGAGCGTGCCTGAGAAGCTGACCTGGTGTTGGTCTTTCACCAGCCTGTGCCCTCTGTATATTTAAGATAAAACAAGTCACCAAGGGGAGGCTTCTGGGCAAGTTGAACACCTGGGCAAACTGGAAATGTGCTACAACAAATCATTCAAATTTGTCATCAGTCTGCTTCATTTTCATTTTCTTTGGAGACCTCACACATGATCATTTCGTTTAGATTTTCAGTGTGACTAATGTTTCTAAGGAGAAAAAAGAGGTATTTGAACTATGAATAAAACCATAAGAGTAACGTGTCCAAAAAAAAAATGCATTTTAACAGTATTTTTCCAAAACTGAGTAATACTTGTTTTGGTTACCTAGTGCCACACTGACAGAAATACACCACAAATGGAATGGCTTGAAAAGGAGCTTATTCTCTTACAGTTTGGAGGCTTTAAGTCTGAGTTCAAAGTGCCAGGCTCTAGGGGCCATGTGAAAGCCTTCAACCTTGGGCTTCAGCTCTCCCTCCTGCTCCTGGCCCACTGAAGCTGGAGGCTTTTCTTCACTCAGACACCTGTTGGTTGCTGAGGCTGACAAACCCATGGTTGACAAGTAACAAGACACAGTCCCAATGTTACCAAACAACATGGCAGGCCACTAATTCAAGTTCATTAAAAGTCCCAAGATTGGCAGAGCATGGCAGGCTGCTGAAAAACAACACAGCTAGCTGCAGGGTTAAAGTATGCCATAAGCTAGAGACCTTTCCCAAAGCTGCTTCTTATATACAGGAAGCAGACCACATCCCTAAAGTAGCTACTCAGCTGTTTGTAGTAGATCCCACCATGGAGTTGATTGCCAGTCTCATCATGGGGAATAACTACCACCAGCTGCCTAGCCACTCTACCAGGCCCAGCCAAATTGACACACAACCTTAACTACCACAATACTATTTGGTACTGAACTCAAAGATATACAGGCACTTTAATTCTTTCCCGTTTAATATGGACTTAACGTATTCTTTTTATGTTAAAGCTTAACATATTCTTTTAATCTCTAACCAAGTGTTTATTTATTTCTTTTGGGTGAAATTCTGTTCTTTCTTCTTTTTATCATGAATCATGTGTTAATTTTTATTTTAAAAAATATTTTATTTATTACTTTCGGTGGCAACATACACAACCGAACACACATCCATTCAATATGTCTACATGAACAGCTGAACAACACTGGTTACAACTTCACATTGTGTCACCCTGTTAATATTCTTAATTTTTATCTTGAGATATTTACATCTGGCATTAATTTTCTAGAGTTCCTCACACAATAAGCCAATTAAAAACTTATTTCTTATACAGGATATGAGTATATATTTCTAGTATGTTGACTATTTTTTTAAATAATTTTTAAAAGAAATGAATAAGAAGAAAAATCTAGCTGCTTCTGGTCATGAACACAACTGATTTTCAGAAATTCTCAAACACTTGTCTATTCTTGTGAAACTAAGGTACTACAAGGCAGCTTCTATAAATAACAATTCTAATGATTAGCTGGCTGGAAAATAAATAAATGGAGAAATAAACCATATTCATGGATTGGGAAACACAGTATTATTAAGATGTTATTTTTCCTCAAATTAAACTACAGATTACAATCCCATCCAAAATATGAGTAGGTCCTTTCATCAAAGTTGACAAACCAATTCTAAAATATAGGAAACATAAAAGTCCTAGAATAGCCAAGACAATTCTGAAGAAAAACAAAGTTGGAAGACTTACACTACCTAATTTTAATACTCAGCTTATATAAAGCTTAGTAATCAAGATAGTGTGGTATTGGTGTAGGGAAAGACAAAAATTAAACTTAATGGAAAGTCTCAAAGCAGAACCAGATTTAGATGGTCATCTGATTTATAACAGAGATACCACTGTATTTTACTGAGGATAGTTTTTTCAATAAATGGTGTTTGTCAACTGAATTTTCGATATGGGGGAATAAAAAATTGAACCTTGATCCTTAACTCATACAATACACAAAAATTAATTCACAATGTATGATAGGCCTATATGTAAAAAGTGAACATAAAACACATAGAAGAAAATACATAAGATTATTTTCATGAACTTGGGGTAGCCAAAGATTTCTTAAATAAACACACAAAAAGCATTAGTCAAAAAAGATTGAGAAACTGGACTTTATTAAAATTAACAATCTCTGTTCAGCAAAAGACACTGGTAAATGAATAAAAACACAAGTCATAGACTGAAACAAAATATTTGTGATACATATGTCTAATAAAAGATTTGTATCGAGAAGATATAAAGAACTCTTTAAAACCAATTTTTAAAAAATAGGCAAAATACCATAATAAGCACTTTACGTACACATCTTCCTTGAAGGAAGGAAGGAAAGAGAGGAGAGAGGGAGGGGAAGACAGAGGAAGAGAGGGAGGAGGAATCAATAAGGAGGTCAGTCACATCAGTCATTGGGAAATGCAAATTAAAACTGTCACAGAATACTATTACACACCCAACAAAATGGCTGAAATAAAAAGACTGACGGTATCAAATGAAGTATCAAGTGGTGGAAACTGAAACTCTCATACTACACTGATACAACAATCACTTTGGAAAACATAATCTAAATGCTAAACATACATTTACTCTATAACCTAATCATTCCACTCATAGGTATACAACCCAGAGATATGAGTGAATACGCCCATTAAAAGACTTGTACAAAAATGTTCATAACTACTTTTATTCATAATAATCAAAATCTGGAAATAACCCAAATATTTACCCCCCGGTAAATAAGTTGTAGAGCCACTCCTCGGAAAAGGAAGGTTGGGCAATCTACTTCCATAGTGATACCGCCTCAGAAACCCAAGGAGGGGTCGCTATGAGTCAGATCTGACTCAGCAAAGGGTTGATATATATTACTTGCATCTATTTGTGAAATTCCATCTAGCTACATATTTAACTGTATGTATATTATACCTTAACTGTATGTATATCATACTTCAGTAAGAAATTTCAAAAGTGTTTACTAAAACTTTTTTTTATTAGAAGTTTCAAAGGCTACAAAGTGAACTTTACCTAAAGGTATTTCAGTAACAGCTGCAATCCCTTTCAGTTCCTCTTCATAAGGGCTAGGAAGGTTGCCAAGTAGACCAGGCTGAAAAACAAATTAACAATCATTTAGCTGAAAGGCACTCTTTGAGATCTGGTTATCTGACATTTAATTTGTTTCATATATTGCTACCACAATATGTGATGGTAAGATGTAATTTTAAGCATGTTTACATCATATATTTTTAAAAGATTCTATCTAATACTTGCTATTAAACTCCCAATTCTTTAACTCCTGCTCTTCCTTAAGCTCACCTGCTGTTAGGTATTATACAGAGAACTACGTCAGATTGTTTCTTCTTGCCCTTATAATTTTACTAGAAAAAGGGAACTGAATAATTCTACATTGGTGACCTAACTGAACCACAACACAAGAACACCACAACAGCAACACATTTTATCTTTACCTCTCTGTTTCAACGTACTTTCTAGTCACTGGCATTGTATCCTCTTTACTATTTGCTTCCCACTCACCCTATACTGTACTCAGTATATACTATTTTAGTCTTTAACAAAACCTTTTGTCATAGTTCATGACTGATCTTGGGCTAATATGCATTAACTGGATTCTGTTGGCAAATGATGGTCATATTAGCAAATTTGATGCTGGACTTCATACTTTTATTTTCAATTCAAATATTCACCAACAATGAGATCAAAATAGATGTTAAAAACCTAACCCAAAGGCATACAACAAGAATATGACTGATCCAGGTTTAAACTTAGTTTTGTCTGATGCCAAAGCTTGAGCATTTAGACACTTTGCAATATTGTTTTTCAGACTGATATTCAGAGAAAAGGGGAAATTAGGGGATAAGGGATATGTAGGGGCCTCTTCCTCCTCTGTTCCCGACAGCATTACCATTTTGGAAAAGTCTGGTTAGTAGAAACATATAACATAGTCTTAGTCAAAGGCTCTGGGAGCATAAACACAAGGCATAACAGGTTTGGCTTATGCTTCATTGGTAGGATGTGACCATAAGAGCACCAAAGAGCCCAAGTCTATAGGATCCTCTAGAGTAATGATTCTTGGCTTGGGGTGATTTTTAGCCCCCAGGGCATTCAGCCGTGTCTAGAAAAAATTTTGGTTGTTACAACAGAGGAAGTGTTATTGGCCACTGGTGGGTAGAGGCCAGGGATGCTGTTAAACATTCTATAGGGCACAGGACCAAAAACAAACTCACTGCCATTGAGTCTATTCTAATTTACAGCAAACCTATGGGACAGAGTAGAACTGCTCCATAGGGTTTCCAAGGCTGTAACTCTTTGCAGAAGTAACTACCTCAGTTTTCTCCTGTGAAGCAGCTGGTGGGTTTGAATCAATGATCTGGTTAGAAGCCGAATGCTTTAACCACTGATCCATCAAAGGATCTGCATACACAGGACAGCCACCCACAACTAAGAATTAACAAATGTCAAAAGCCGAGGTTAAGAAATCTGCCCTATGTAGGGTCTTAGTGCATTTCCCCAAACTTCTGCACCCTGCAGGACAAAGAGGGCTCCAGAAAAAAGACTAAAAGATAGTCACTAATGGGGCCCCCAGGAGGTCTGGTAGCATAGTGCCTAAGGTATCTGATTGCTAACCAGAAAGTTGGTAGTTCAAACCCACCAGCCACTCCATGGAAGCAAGACTGGTCAATCTATTTCTATAAAGATTTACCCCCTCGGAAACCCAATGGGGGTCGCTAGGAGTCAGAAGTGACTCGACAGCAGTGGGTTTGGTTTGGCTTTTTTGGAATGTGGCCTAGGGGAAGGCCTTTGATGTTCTATTGGTTCCACCTAAATTAAAAAGGTGCTGAGAAATGGAGTCTTCCTGTGTGACCAGGAGGACAATGAAATGGTTGGGTGAATGCACATCCATAAGCTACATACAACCTGAGTGAGTTTCAAGGGTCACAGCTGCTGAGGGACTCTAAGTACAGTGGTGGGGTGATCGTGTCATTTGGTCATGTCTAGAAAAAAAATTCTGGGTGTCCTGGAATACTTGGGCAAAGTACTTAAGAAAATAAAGAAGTTTTTAATAGTGAGCTTGGAAACCTAAGCATATATAAGGGGCATACTCCCAGAAAAATATGTGTATTTGTCTATTTCTCTGTAATATAGTCAATCCTTTTAAAAAAATTATGGCAAAGTTAAAAAACATTGAACAGCAGTCAACCACCAAGATTAGCCATGTTACTTTGTGTCCTGTTATTCTAATATTTGCCCATGAAACAGCAGTCAAGAAATCAAACAATGTATTGCACTGGGCAAATATGCTTCAAAAGATCTGTTTAATGTGTCAAAGAGCTGCATTGTAGTAAATTACTTAGTGTGGCTTTTCTACCTATAAGTCATTGTAAACTCTAGTGGAAAGAGCAACTGAGGAGCTCCTGATTGTAAATGTTATCCACCTGGGTTATTTCTGTTGGGCGTGGCACAACACAATGTTATGGAAGGCTCACTCTCAGGTGCTTAGAATTCTGTTGTTATGATTGGTTGGTTTGACCACTCTGCTGGGCTCAAAAGGAGGCCTCCTAGAGGCAGAACTCTCTCTGACTGCTGGTTGAGGAAGACGGGCTGCTGAAAGAGACATGCGCTCCCGAAAGAGACATGTGCTGCTGGGAAAGAGACGCAAGAGACAAGCATTGCTGAGTAAGACACTGAGGGACATGCACTGCTGGGGGAGAGACTGAGAAACTTGTCTGAGAGACGGCGGGCTGAGGAGAGAGACTGAGCATTTTTCCTGAACTCGAGTTGTAGCCTGGTGCTTCCGTAATAAACCTCATAAGCTGTGAGTTCTGTGTGGCCACCACAGTGAATTATCGAACCCAGGAGAGAGGTGGTGGGTGCTTTGGGAGGAACGGTTGGTGAAAGGAATGGAGGGAGGCAGCATGTCTGGCCTTGCAGTAATAGGCCTTGGGCTATTGATGGTGATTCTGCCTTCCTCTTGTGGGGTTCTAGGAGGTCAGAATATGTGGCCTCCTTGTCCTTTAGGCAAGAGCAAACCTATAATTTTGAAGATTAAGGTGCGCCTGATCCAAGCCATTGTATTTTCAATCATCTCATAAGCATGTGAAAGCTGGACAACAAATAAGGAAGACCGAAGAAGAATTGATGCCTTTGAATTATGGTGTTGGTGAAGAATACTGAAAATACCTGGACTGCCAGAATGAACAAACCTGTCCTGGGAGAAATGCAGCCAGAATACTCCTTGGAAGTGAGAATGGCCAGACTTTGTCTCACCTACTTTGGCCATGTGGTCAGAAGAGACCATTCCTTGGAGAACGATAACATGCTTGGCAAAGAAGAGGGTAAGCAAAAATGGGGAAGAACCTCAACAAGATGGATTGACACAATGGCTATAATGATGGACTCAAGCACAGCAAAGTTTGTGAGGATGATGCAGGACCAGACAGTATTTCGTTCTGTTGTACACAGGGTCCCTATGAGTTGGAAGTGATGCAACACGATCTAACAACAACACTACAATATTAATCAACTCACAGAATCTCTAGCCCCTCTGAAGTTCAGACAGGGGTATAGAATAAATATAAATTTGTATAAGCTCCTAAGAAAGGCTGTGAAATGATGCCTCTCAATAAATACCAGAGCCTTTTCTAAACTCTATGTGTGTATGTATGTGTTTAAAATGTAGGAATGTTTCTTACCAGTTTTTGATCTACTATCTGCATAACTTTTCCACTTGGCACAAATGCATTTACTACCTCTTTCAGGGAATTCACTATAATCCTTAGCTGAAAAATAAGTAAATAAAACAGTAAGAGATAAATAAGTATTGACATTTAGGACTACTATTAATATAAGGAAAACAAAAAACAGATATAGACTTTTTTCTTTCAATATTATTTTGTTGTTTTTGAGAATATACACAGCAAAACATACACCAATTCAACAGTTTCTATCTGTACTAATTAGTGACATTCATTACCTTCTTCAAGTTGTGCAACCATTGCCAATCCTCCTTTTCTGAGTTGTTCCTTCCTCATTAATATAAATTCACTACCCTCCCTAAGATCCCTATCTAGTCTTTTGAGTTACACTGGTCAATTTGATCCCATACAGATAGTTCTTAAGAAGACAATACTCAAGGTAGATGTTTTTCACCAGTTACGCAAAACTATTGTTTGGTTTTAAGAAGATTTCAGGAGATATTTTTGGTTTAAGGTTTAAAGCTCATCTCAGGGCAGCAGTTTCAGGGTTTCATCCATCCTCCAAGGCTCCAGAAAGTCTAGAGTCCATGAGAATTTGAAATTCTATTCTGCATCTTCCCCCTTATGATCAGGATTATTCTATGGAATCTTTGATAAAATGTTCAGTAATGATAGCCAGGAACCATCCAGTTCTTCTAGCAAAGGAGGCAGTTATTCATGGAGGCAATTAGCCATATATTCCATATATTGCTCCTATTCCTGACTCTCCTTCCTTCTCTGTTCCAGGTGAACACAGACCAATTGTTGTGACTTTGATGGCTTCTTGCAAGCTTTCAAGATCCTAGGCACTCTGCAACCAAGTAGGAGATATAACAGAAGCACTAAACATATTATTAGGCCAATTAATTGCGATGTCCATGAAATCATGACCCTAAATCTCTAAACCAAGGGAAAAAAAATCCCATGAGGTTACATAAACAGCTTGAGTAGTTACTTTTGTTGTTGTCGTTATTGTAAATAAATGTATCACACAACTTCTGGCAATTCAATTTTTTTTACAGGCTTACAATTAATTACAATAATTGGCTGTATAATTCTATAGATACAGATCTTTTGATTTACCAATATATTGCTAAATCAAACAGAAGTGGAAAATATTTTCAATTACTATATAAGTACAATACAATCTAACTTTAGTTTTAACATATTTTATTCTTAATTATTTGGATTAAGGAGGATGATACAGAAGTAAGGAAACACAGGCAAGAACTACTAAAAGAGCATAAAGTATAGAGGAATGACACCTTTTCCTTTACTATCATTTATTGTAAATGGTAGAAACAAACTGAAAGAAATTCATTAAATACCTGACGGGTAATTTCATGAAGTATTCCTTTAAGAATATAATTATACTGAATAACATTAGAAACAGAAAATTAAACTTCATAGCTTACCGATGGTGCCTTGTCAGCCATCAACTCATGCCATCTTTTGTAGGGTGGTAAATCAAGATTTATGGTGTACCAAGGAACTGGACCCCTATAGCTGTAATAAGAGGTATATCATCTTGAAATATTAAAAAGTAGCCTCCTCTCCAGATGTGTTATATCAAGATGGATATGTTTGAGACATATTCTTAATAATATAATAGAAGTTGGTTACTGACACAAAAATTTGCAAAGAAAGTTCATTTTTCATCTAGTGCTTCTGCCCTAGGTTCACATACAATCATAGTCTCAGAAACCTTGGAATAGAATATACATTCTGGAAGATTAATGTAAATCGGTGATATGTGAAAGAATCAGCTGGGCTCAAGAGCTATAGCCTGAATATCACTGTAAAAAATATTTGCCTTCTTTTTTTCTTCCTACATCTCTGAAAAAGAATATTTTTATGGTATAGTGTTGGAAGATAAACCCCCTAATTGGGAAAACACTCAAAATACACAGTGGCCACAACAATGTACTTGAATACGTCAACTATTGTGAAGATGGCTCAGGACCAATGTTTTGTTCTCTTGTAATGGGGTCACCATGAGTCAAAGCAAACTCAATGGCAACTAACAACACATCTCTGCAAATCTCGACACTCTCCAGTTGGTCTCCCAGTCCCAGAATTTCTTCTCAGACTGCTGAATACCAGTCAACTCATTTGTTTCTAGTATTATTATCAGGAAGCCTTTTAAGCCCCAGAGTGGTGTCATATTTTGGCTTCTCATGAATGGCTTCAAGAACATTCATAATTCAGGCAGCTACCCTAATGTTCCTTACCACACTTCCTCTCTTCTCATACTGCTGTAGTAAGTTCAAACTCCAGCACTGTATTGTTATACCCATCCCCCAATGTCATCTTCTTGAATTTATATACAATAGTTTCCACTATGACGATATAGGAATATATAAAGAAAAGAGGAATCCTCACAACTGGACAAATAAGCAACATCGTGATAAAAGGAGAAATTATTGAAGTTGTCAAGGATTTCATTTTACTTGGATCCACAATCAACTCCCATGGAAGCAGCAGTCAGGAAATCAAATGATGTGTTGCACTGGTAAATCTGCTGCTAAAACTTTGCTGCAGTGTTAAAAAGCAAAGATGTCACTTGGAAGACTAAGGTGCACTTCACTCAAACAATGGTATTTTCAATCATCTCACATACATAAAAAAGTTGGACAATCAATAAGAAAGACCAAAGGATAATTGATGCATTTGAATTACAGTGTTGGTGAAGAATATTAAAGTATACATGGACTGCCAGAAGAACAAACAAATCTGTCTTGGAAGAAGTATAGCCAGAATGCTCCTTAGAAGCAAGGATGGTAAGACTACATCTCACATACTCTGGATATGCTATCAGGAGGGAACAGTCCCTGAGGAAATCATTCTTGGTGAAGTAGTAAGTCAGTGAAAAAGAGGAAAACCAACAGTGAAATGGACTGACACAGTGGCCACAACAATGGGCGCAAACATAGTAATGGCTGTGAGGATGGTACAGGACCGGGCAATATTTCACTCTGTTGTGCACAGAATTCCTATGAGTTGGAGCTGACTCTACAGCACCTAACAACAACAACTCCCTTAGCAATACAGTAGGGCCATATTGCTGGTAGCTGACGTCCACAACTAGTCTCTGTAACTTTAGAAACATTATCTGCTTGTACCTGTCAGTAAACAAAAAAAAATCTTTAGGGCTGTGCCATTCATTCAGTGATTTGTCAGCCCAAAGCAAAGCCATGGACAAGCTGGCGTTTGTGTCATTATTGCTCTGGCCCAGACAAGCATAAAGTGGTATGTGCTACAATGTTTTCAGGCTCTTAAATTAAAATATTACACAAACTATGGCTACAGCAGGGATAGGTTATTTCCTAAAAGTCTTGAATGATGGTTCTATCTATACTTGTTTCAACATGAATAATTGATTCTCTAAATAATGTTGCTGAGCTTGGTGCCTTGCTATATGTATAAAGTTTTACGAAAGTATCACTCACTAGGCACTCGTGTTATGATTTAGGTAGAAAGGGAAGTACACTCAATTTTGGAAACATGAGTTTAAACAAAATCACAATGAATGGATTTTGTTCTCAAAACACTTTCAAGTACCCATTTCTTTCATAGCTTATATCTACATTAAAAACTGTAATGTTTAAATCCTAAAATACAGCTTTTCATCAAAATAAATTAATCCAGTCAGTCTATAATTTCACATGTAAAACTACTATCTTCCCTATTATGAGAGGTGCTCCACCTGCATGCATCTGGATCTCCATGTCTAGTAGCAATCGAAGATAAATTAGTAGCTACCAGGACTATGCATGCTAGTGGCACTGTCATAAAATATTTGGTCCCCTATTAACTGTAATCAGCTGCTCCTCTTCTTAGAACATCTAACAAAACTCAAACCATGCTCTTTTATCTCCCCTAAACTACTGATTATTTTCCAGTTGAGAGTCTCAAGGATTCCAAAAAGGAAATAAACTCATTACAGAAGGGGATTTCAATTAAGTGAGGATGGGTGACTTCAGAAACTTCTCTACAATAAAACTTCCATTAATCAGAATTCTTTGAGAAAACTAGGTAATCTGATTAATAAAATCACACTGGGAACTAAAAGTTAACCATAATTCCCCATTTTACCTCTCATGAAACAATTTCCTAAAATATCATAGTATTTAATATCTGCACCTCAATTTCTTACAGAAATAAAAGTATTTACTTTATGAGAGTAGGGAGGATTACATGAAATATGGAAAGGATAGTTTGCAGCATAGGCACTCAATCAATAGTAATTACCATAGTATGTTTTCCTACTTTACTACAAAAATAAATATAAATGAATTATTTTTGAGATTTAGTATTTACTGTAATCAGGTCATCAAAATCAATATCAAGCACTGACTGAATGCCTGTGATTCCCAAGTGGCCTGGAAACTAGTCCAAGTGATAGAATATACACATATACAAATAAGACAGCAGGTTCTAAGCATCCAGTGAGCAGTGGAAAAGAAATGCTAATGGGCAGAATTTTAATGAACAAAGGAGTGATCTGTAGTCAGTACCCTGATTGCCAGCACTCATTTGACTGGTCAGGCTGGATAAACAGGTGTCACACTCCTCCCTCGCAGTTCCCCATACAGCCCTCCAGAACCTAGGCACCTGACTGGAAAGGATGACAACATAGGTACCAAAACCAAAAAAAAAGGAAAAAAACCAAACTCACTTCCATCAAGTTGATTCTCGCTCATAGCGACCCCTCCTTGGGTTTTCAAAGCGGTATCTCTATAGAAGTAGATTGCCCAGTATTCCTTCCCAGGAGTGGCTGGTGGGTTTGAACCACCAGCCTTCTGGTAATAGTTAAATGCTTTAGGCACTACATCACCAGAGTTCCCAACATAGGTACAGGAGGACTGCTTCTCTCTCAAAAGTATATAAGTACCAAACTTCTCTCCCTGATCTCAAGATTTGTTTTTTTGTTCAGGGGATTACAGCAGATATTAGGAGTTTCATGTAGGAAAGAAGGCTACAAAGGAATTCAGCAAAATACCAAGGTAAAATAATAATAATTATTATAATTATAAATATATATATGTTGTTGTTGTTGTTATGTGCTGCTGAGTCAGACCCGACTCATAGCGACCGCTCCTTGGGTTTCCAAGGCAATATCACTACAGAAGTAGATTGCCCAACCTTCCTTCTGAGGAGTGGCTGGTGGGTTTGAACCGCCAGCCTTCTGGTTAGCAGTCAAGTGCCTTATATATATATATAAAAATACAAATACACACAACACCACATACATACAGATATAGATTTATAAATGTGCATGTGTGTATATATATGTGCACATGTACAAACACACAGTCATACATACAGCAGTGCAGAACTAGTTAAATGTCTAAGCAGGGAAGATTTTCAGGGCAATCAATTCAGTAGACACAAACAAGATATATGTGAAAGGTGGTAGAGAAAAGGCCATACACATGAAAAGTAGTCATTAAATGTTCAATGAATTGGGCACTGAAACCAGCCAAAAGATCCATTCAGTGAGGTTCTGTAGACCCAGACCAAAATGGTGCTAGTGGTGACAAGAGGAAGACTGTGAGAAGGCAAGCAATTAAAGAGAGGCTGAAATACTGTTGACGCTGGTTACCTCTAAATTAACTCCTGCCAAGTACTTGCCTCTTTCTACATAAAGGTGAGTAAACCAAAAGACTTAAATTTATTCAGTTTCACTCCATCTGTGATACAACCTATTTAGAATCTATTATTTAGACAACAGCAATATAACAGATATAATTCGGAATACTGTAAGAAATGGAATGTCATCTTGATGCTACTGGTTTAAGTCTTACTCTGTCTTCTCCAACATTCAAGAAAGCTTTTCCCCCATGTATTTTTTTAATAGTTGTTTCATTTATATGTGTGTGTGTCTCTATACACACACACACACACATACGTATATACACACATACATACATACACACACACACACACATATAAAAAATATATATAGTAATATATATAGTGATTTATGTCCAGGTACCACAGGGAGCCACAGAGTCAGCTCTGTCACAAAACTAAATACAGACTTGTTTGTCAAGATCAGAAAAATACTTGGCAATAGATAGATGAGTTAGTAGTGAAGGGAACACTCCATTTTTTCCTATAATTTGATAACAATGGACATTTTAATGATGAGGATTTTCATAATTGTTCAGGGTCTTAGGCAAATGCAAGGCCTGAGGGTAGAGGGGAAATTGTCTCAGGATAGAAGATACAATTTAAGTTTTTATTCATACCATTATTTTTATGAAAGAGATCTTTACACAGGAAAAACTCCACAAAGGTCAAAGTGAATTTTGAAAATGGGATGTGTACTCACGTTGGTCCAGAAGGAGGATAGGTTGATTTTCTGCAGTCTTCTGTCCACTAATTAAAGAACAAAGAAAATTAAACAGTTTCAGTACACAGTAAATGCTTGCTAATGGAATAATTTGTTTAAAAAAAAGTTATCATTTGTGAAGACAAGATCAAGTATGATTTTACTTTTTTAAACTATTTCAATACCCCTTAAAATAAGTCTTTTTCTCCTACAAAAACTTCTAAAAATCCCAAACCATTAATAGCATTTTTAGTCTCAGTTCAATTTGCACAAATGCCAAAAACCAAAACAAACAAAACTAACCAAACTCACTGCTGACAAGTAGGTTATGACTCATAGTGACCCTAACTTGCACAGCAAATATACTGAGTAAAAAGGAAATGTGAGAAAGTAGATGGAAAAAGTCTGTGTTGGGTTGATTTATCATTACTTACTTTGTAAGATGTGGTATTATTTGAATTTATTGCATTCTGCCCTGGGAAAATCCCAAACCAGATTGTCAGGGCACACTGAGGAGGGCCCTTTACAATCTGGTCATAACTTACCACCCAGCTTCATCTCCTGTCACCCCTCCTAATATTTATAGCCACATAAAACAACTACATTCTAATGCTCCCACCTAAGGAACAGCATGTGCCAGTCCTGCTGTACTTCTCTCCCTAGTAAATTTTCTGTTATCTTCTAAGACTGAATTAAAATATAATCTTCTCTGTAAAGTTTTCATCTACCTGTCATAAACAGGAGCTCTGGTGCTGTAATGCCTAGTGCTAACCAGAAGGCTGATGGTTCAAACCCACCAGCCGAAGATAGGGCAATCTACTTCCGTAGAGATACCCCTCTGAAACCTAAGGAGGGGTTGCTATGAGTTGGAATCACTCCACATCAGTGAGTTATTTTTTTTAGTTTGTTATAAAAACAGTCACACCCTCGTCAATACTCCTACAGCATTTGTACTCATCTCCATTACCATATTAATGACACTGCATTATAATTGTGTCTCTTGTTCTCCTTGAGGTGAAAATAGTCTCCAACATATAGGCCACTGCCTAAAATAATGAATGAATCAAACTGTCTTAAGGAGAGTTGTTCAAGCTTAGTAGCAAAACAGAATTTGTTCTTAACATAAAGTTATCAAATAAAGTTACACAGATTCTTTTGTTCCTAGTACAAGATGGTAAGCATGTTTATCTCCTCTCCACTGAAGACTCAATACTGTAAAAGTAAAACAATTCTTAAAAAATTCAAATGCACAAGAGGAAACTACTGGAACTGTAGTTCGAGCTCAGAATACGTATCTGTTGGAGATTTGTGTGAAAATAGAGATCTCACATATTTTTTAAATGTTTAATAACAAACATGGGATGTGCATAAAATAGCTTGATATTACTTGTGATTCAAACATAATTGTCTAAATGACTTTTCCACAGTATAAGTTTCTCATATAAGCTCTATTTTGCCTTGTAATTTTGGTTGAACTAATTAAGAAGCAGTATCAAGTCTGCACAAAAGCTAATTTCCAGAGCCATTCAATATTCAATAACAGTGGCTGAGGTCAATCTCAGCCCTAAACACAAAAATCACAGTAAAACTTTACCAATGCTAAACTATATAACCTATGTTAGGAAAATCATGATATTCAGCATCTATTTCTTACAAAAATTCACAGAAATGACTATGGTTAACTTCATGAGAGCAAATAAAGTTCACATTTGACATTACTGGTACAAAAGCACATGACAGATTCAAATATTTTCCACAATGTACTTGCTGATTAATAATAACATCCTGCATCATCACAAGTTTCGCAAATTTATCCAACTAAGCTTTTTTTTTTTTTTTTACTCCACACATGTATTTACCACTGTCAACTGTTACACATCTTAGCAGATTCCACTTTGGGTTGTAATAAATTACTCTTTTTTCAACTAGTTTGAAAACATTCATACCTGTAATTGTTTCACATAAACTATTCACAAAAGCTAATTCTTTAATTACTTCAAACCGTGAATTATCCCTCAAATAAACACCAACTGATCAGTATTGATACCTTCAAGAACCAAGGAAAACCATCTAAAATCATTTTCCTTGTTTTTAAATGATAGATATTGCTCCCAAAGTCCTGAGCAATTGTTCTTACGTAAAGGCTAATAGTATGCAACAAATTTATTTTCCTTGGACATATTTCTTCTGCTGCTATAATCAAACACAATTTTCTTAACTAACCATTGGTAAATGACTTTCCTTGCTTTGTAAACAAATGTGCTACTTGGAGATTTACTTTGGTTACAGCCTCATTTCCCTTTTATAAATTTGTAAATAAATTCTACTATGATGAAATACTCACTTCTATTGAGTCCATTACAACTCATAGTGACCCCCACTGGGTTTCCAAGGCGGTAAATCTTCATGGAAGTAGATTGCCCCATCTTCCTCTCACAGAGAGGCTGGTGGGTTTGAACAGCCAAGCATTCTGGTTAGCAGTTCAAATCTGCCAGCCACTCCATGGAAGGAAGATGGGGCAATCCACTTCCATAAAGATTTACCACCTCAGAAACCTAATGGGGGTTACTATGAGTTGGAATCAACTCAGATGGCAGTGAGTTTGGTGTTTTGGATTTGGGGATTATAATATCAAATACTGTTTTAAACTTTTCATTTTTCCAACCACTGCTATCTCATGAATTGGAAATATTCTGATCAATTCTTACTCTGTTTATGACAACATATACTGCATTCTTTTATCACAACTTTTAGTGTCAGGGTATAAGACGTACAATGCTTTGGCATCTAAATTCAATAACAATAATCACAAAATTCAGCAACAAAATAATCCATATTCTACTTTGCTTTAAAAGAACACAATTTTTCTTTTCTTGTGTTGACATGAAAGAATGAAAAGAAGTTCATTTTTCTTTTCTTGTGTTGACATGATGGGCATTCGCTGGCAATTTTTTTAAAAAAGAAAATAAAATAACATAATACATTGATATATATGACTCTTGAAATGGTGCTGAGTTATAATAATAACTGATTTGTCAGGCACCAAACAGCAGCAAGAAACCACATATGGGCTCTGCTGCAACAACTCAAATGTTGCAGGGCAAAAGCAAGACAATATGTAAACAAATGAGGTGGCTGTGTTTCAATAAAACTTTATTTATAGACAATGAAATGTGACTTTCACAAACTTTTCATTTGCTATGAAACAGTTTTGTTTTGATTTTCCTCTTAACATTTTAAACAAGTAAAATCTATTCTTAGCCTGCAGGCCATACAAACACAGGTGGTGAGCCAGATTTGGCCCTTTGGTCATAGTTGCCAAGTCTACTCTTGGGGTACCAACCGTCATATAACTGTCCTTTTTTTGGCTAGACTAGGTTTTCAGTTTCTTTAGAGGAAAACTCTTTGAGATGGTGTGTGTGTGGGTGAGAGAGAGAGAGAGAGACTGAGAAAATAAGAGAAAGATACTGTCCGTGTATTTAGTTTTTTTGCCTACCAATAAAATGCTTAACTACATGCACTTGAGATGCAGAGGTGGGGATGGGGGTTATTTTCTGTTCAAGGGCCCTCAATTTAATTCTCCTTGCATCTTTACTTATTTTTCTTATTCCCAGAATAACTGTTGCTCTAAGCCAGCAACCTCTCCAGGAATTTCCTTTCCCTGCCTCTACCACTTTGCTTCATCAGTCAAACACTAAACCCCCAAAATTAATTAAAGTCTCTCAGGCACACATTTAAAAAAAAAAAAAAAAACACTCAAACTCACTGCCATCGAGTCACTCCCGACTTATAGCCCTCCTTGGGTTTCCAAGGCAGTATCTCTATGGAAGTTGATTGCCCAGTCTTCCTTTGGAGGAGTGGCTGGTAGGTTTGAACTGCCAGCCTTCTGCTTAGCAGTCAAATGCCTTACGCACTACGCCACCACATAGATGCAATTAAATCATTTGCTTATGGACTGCTATATTGAGGAGCTCTGGTGGTACACTGGTTAAAGCACTGTGGTGTTAACCAAAACTTTGGTGGTTAGAATCTACCAGCCACTATGTGGGAGAAGGATGAGGCAGTCTGCTTCTGTAATGATTTACAGCCTTAGAAATCCTATGGGGCAGTTCTACCCTGCCCTATAGAGCAGTTATGAGTCAGAATCTACCCAAAGGCAATGAGTTTGGTTTTTGGTAGCTGTATTAGTTGTCTATTGCTGCTATAATAAATTACCACAAACCTGAAAAAAAAAATTTCACTGAGAGTTGATCATAGTGACCCCAATTGGGTTTCCAGGGCTGTAAATCTTTATGGAAGCAAACTGCTTCATTTCTCTTCTCTGGAGCAACTGATGGGCTTGAACCATTGACTTTTTGGTTAGTAGACAAATGCCTTAACCACTACACTACCAGAGCTCATACCACAAATTTAGTGGTTTAAAACAACACAAATTTATTATGTTACAGTTCTAGCAATTAGAAGTCTAAAATGGGTCTGCAGGGCTGCATTCTCTTAAGGGGAGGATCTACTCCTTACCTTTTACAAAGCTTCTAGAGGTTACCTGCATTCTTTGGTTTGTGGTTCCTTCCGCCATCTTAAAAGTCAGTAAAGTAGCATACTGTCTCTTCTCTGACTTCCTGGGTCCCTCTTATAAGGCCCCTGTAATTATACATGACTCATCTAGATAATCCCTAATAATCCCCCTACATAAGGGTCCTTAACTAAATGGTGTCTGAAAAGTTCCTTTTACTATAAAAAGGTAATATATTCACAGGTCCCAAGGATTAGGAAGTAGACATCTTTGGGGAATCACTATTCAGCCTACCACGGTATCTATGCAAAAAGACATTTCAAAGATGAAATATGTAAAATCTCATTACAGACCAGGAATAGCAAAGAAATATTTTCAATCAGTTTTGTTGATAGGGAACACTAACAATGAATCCCAAGTAAACAAAATAGTCCCCCCCACCCCATTGTAAAAAAAAAAAAGCTATTGGAAGCTCCAGGGAAAAAATCAACAATGAAATAATGAAATAAAAGCTTCACAAGAGAATCATGACAG